CACTCCTCTGCCACTTAGGAGTAAATTCTGAAGTGCAGACGGCAGCCTGAAAGCACCAGTACTCTTTGGCCACTTCCTCCCTATCCCAACTCCTCTCCACACCCCTCCCCTCTCCCCTTTCCCTGGGGCCCAGCGTGCCCTCAGGCCTTGCCCTGACCGAGCCCTCTGCCCACTCTCTCTCCCCACAGAGCAGCCCCGGGGTGTCCAGGAAGTCTCTGAAGGAGCCGGCTTCCCAGGCTGCCCAGGCTCAGGCTGCTCTCTCCTGCCACTCTGCCCCATCTCCCTGACTGCTTTCCTTTTCTTTCTGGCATTCACATCAACAGATAGGCATTTATTTTCCTGCTCTGTGCCAGGTCCTTTCAACATAGACCTTCCAGGAGAGCAGACACGAGCATGTTCTGTTCTCTGTCCCACCCCAGGGTTTAGAAGCATCCAGCACAGAGTAGGAGCTGCGAAGACACTTGAAGAAAGAACACCTTAGCAGAGTAGACCACCTTCTCCTCAGTGCACATGCGAGCCGCCTCGCCACAGCTGTGATGCTGAGCAGCTGCCCCTTCCAGCAGGAGACAGTGAGGTGGGCAGGGCTGAGCCCTCCTGGCCAGGACAACGTGGCTTCCGTGGCTGCCCCAGCGGTGGGACTTGAGCTCAGCCACTGACCCGAAAAGCATCTTTTGAAGAATCCCTTCTAATCATGACTTTTACTGACAACCAAAAGCGCTGTACCTTTATTTTTTGTGTACAAAAATTCCACCTCACTAATCTGATCACTTCCCACTCTCTGGCCTTGGACTGCCTAGGACCTTCTCCCTGAGCAGCTAATCCGTACAGTAGTGGGCTGCTGGTGCCCCAGCCTCTGCTGCTCCCCTTCCTCACATCCGTGTTCCATCAGTGCAACACTACAGGGCCCAAGGAAACATTCCACTGTAATGAAAGTTATCTTTTGTCTTAGTACAAAGCTTCCCACGACCTCATGCAATTTCCTGCTATCGATCAGTCCATTGCTTTGGCTGACTGAATATGATAATGTGGTGAAAATGAGCTGCTCCAGGAAATCAACTTTTTATTTTTCCTTTTGGGTGTCTGTACTGTGTGGTTCCAAGAAGAAATTCTTGGCTACAGAGATTTGAAAACCACAGTGAAAAGGAATATATATTCAACCCAGTGTGGACCGGGTTCTGTTTCTGTGCATTGAGCACTAGCATGAAGCAATGCTCAGAACAGAGCAGAGCAGGCATGAGGCTGTGCATGGGGAACCCCAGGAAGGCAGTGCAAAGGCTACCATCGGGCACCTGCAGCCGCACCCCAGGAGACTGGTTCCAGGCCCAGAATCAACAGCTGCTCAAGTCCCTTAAACTAAATGGCATAATATTTCCAAAAGCCCACATGCACCCTCCCGTATAGTTTCAAATCATCTCTGGCCTACTGATAATAATAATATCTAATACAGTGTAACTGCCGTGTAAGTCATTGTCACACTGTGTTGCTTAGGGAATGAGACACGAGACAGGCCACAGATGCAATTAGAAAATACTCTCTGTCCACCGTTGGTTCAATCTGCAATGCAGAAGCAGAGGACTGAGATTTTCCCGCCTGGACCCCGAAGGCATGGACAAGGAAGGAGGCGGGATGATCTCACAGGCCATTCGTCTTGTCTTGGGTGTTGATCGTCGCCAAGGCAAGCCCCACAGCAATTCCACTTCTTAGTACAAAGCGACACAACGGCAGGGCCAGCAATCAGCCAGCAACGTAGAAGGCAAAGGCGCAGCCCTGACGCCTGCATGTCTGTCTGCAGGCTCTCCAAGGGCGTCTCCCCCAAACCCCAGCGTTTCCCTTGCGCCCACCCACCGCTGTCAAGGTCGAGGCCTGTCTCGCTCTTCCGGTGTCCCCTCCGCACCAACACTTTCCTTACGTGGCTAATAAGGAAAACAAACACACGATGAAGGGTGAAGACCCGCGGCAGGGTCACTTCTGGAGTGCCCACCTTTATTCCTGCACAGCATCCCTAGCTTCCTCCAGGGAGTGGCACGGCCAAGCTCTTCCACCGACTCCTTTGAAGGTTTCTGGTGGGAACGAAGCTGGTGCTATTGCCTTCTCCTCCGACCTACAAAACCTTCATCAGAAAGTCCGACTGCTGAGATAGGACACTTTCTAGAACCTAGGCTGACCTAAATTCATGTCTGCCTGGGGATTTCTGCACAGAGACTGATTTTTAAAGAGCACTAAATCATATATTGGTGTCTGATCTTTCTCATAACACGAAATAAGAATGTGGAATTTCAACTGAGTTCAGGCGGTTTCTTCCTGAGCAGGGAGTTAATTTTAAAATAATCAAGAAATCTGCTCCGCCCAGGAGCAAGGATTGGGTGGAGGATCTGGTTACTTCCGTCGGGCTGTCCGCTTCCGGAAGTGACACTACCAGGATGATGAACGCCGAGCCCCATGAATCCAGTCACGGGGCAGAGGCTGTTCATGTGGAGGAGGAGGATGCAGCAGCGTGCCAAAGCCATCACAGCGTGATCTTTAGGTTCTACAGTAGTTGGCAATGGTGAAAGTTCAAGAGATTTAAATTCTCTGGGAACATGAAAATTAAGATATGAAGAAACGTAGCTGGGATTTTCCTAGTGTCATTTTTAGGGTTCATTTCTAGAATGCTACTGAATTTTATGCAAGATTTAAAATTATAGCTCAGTGATACATTTTAAAAAATAAAAGTTCAGCCAGAAGAATAAGGGTTATACTTAACATAGCTTTATCTGATTTCACATCTGAGTTTGTTTTTTTCTTTAAAAATAATCCCAGTCAGGTGTGGTGGTGCACACCTGAAATTCCAGATGCTCAGGAGGCCGAGGGAGGAGGATCATAAGTTTGAGCCCAGCCTGGGCAGCTTAGTGACTTAGTGAGACCCTGTGTCAAAATTTTAAAAGGGACCAGGGATGCGGCTCTGGGCAAAAAGGCCTTGGGTTCCGTCCCCAGTACTGGGGAAAAAACCCCCTCAAACTGAATTCTAGTCAATTAAAATGCAATTATTTGCACAAGTATTTGGAGTGTCGTTTATATCCTGGAAAATTATCTAAACTTGCACTTTTTCTAAACCCTTGGGATTAGGAAAGAAAGCCCTTTCCAGGAGATGAGCGGCTGGGTTTTCCTTGGTGGCCCCATGTCATGTCTTTGATTCCCTAATGGCCCTTTCTGTGACCCCACTCCGAGCTGAGGAGGACAGGGATGGCTCTGGAGCCACATGGGCAGCAGACGGCATGGCTGGGAGTCAGCTCCAGAGCTGTGGCGACAGGAAACAGGGACTTTTGCCACCAGAAGGAAACTCCTTTGGCCTGCCCGGAGATGGACGGCCTAGCCTGAGAAGCAGCGGCCTGGGTGGAAGACTGCACAGGGCACTGGTGATGAAGGAGGGCACCAGGCCGTATGTGCACCAGACATGACTGAGCCACTGGGCACATCAGAAACGGGTCCGGAAAAGCCGAGACGTGCTCGAGGCCTTTCTTCCCGTGCCAAGCTATCCTGTTAAGCTCACACTTTATTTCGTATTATGTGTAGCGGTGTTTGGCTGCACAGCAGGTTACAAATTATTTGTGGGATGGCAGTCTGCAGCGATTTTTTATTTTTGAATTAAGTTACCACTTGACATACAAGATGTAAATTTGCCATAATCACATAGTCAGAGTGACAGCCCCATGTTTGATCATTTGCCCAGTTTGCTCTCTGTCCTTATGGAAAAATGGGCACAGTCTGGGAAGCAACTGCTGTGACTGCCGGGCTCAGTGCTTGGTGGCCCACAGCTGGAAGCGGGTACCACGGGCCCTGGAGGCCCTTCCTGCAGGGGCACTGCACAGAGGGGCAGCAGGGGCAGTAGTCTGGGTCACCTGTCCAGAGTGATGCCCCTTTTAGGCCCTCTCTCTCTCTTTCTCTTTCTTTTTCTTCCTTCCTTCCTTTTCTTTTGTTTTTATTATTATTCTGTGTGTGTGTGTGTGTGTGTGTGTGTGTGTGTGTGTGTGGTACTGGGGATGGAACCCAGGCCTTGGTACTGAGCTACATTCCCAGCTCCCTTTTACATTTGTTTTAAAGTTTGAGACAGGGTTTCACTAGGGTCACTAAGTTGCCCAAACTGGGCTTGCCCTCGTAACCCTCCTGCCTGAGCCTCCCAGACTGCCTTCTAGGTTTTCAGTGGGGAAATCTGGGTGTGGGGAGCACTGGTGTCACTTCCAGAGTAAGCCCCAATTCGAGAGGATCAGAACTGACATCACTGTAAAGAGCAGCCAGAACACACAGTGCTGCCCTTGGGGTGCGACCTGATTGTACCACCTGAGAAGGAAGGCGAGCGGATCCCGGGTCCTGATGCCGGCCTAGGTCTGCCATCATTTTCAGAACTTGGTTCTCAGCAGGCCGATGGCAGTGAGGGTCCAACCCTATAGGCCTGGAACTCGGCCATGCTGCTGACTACCTCACAAGGGGAGGAGTGTGCGCATGTGTCTGTGCGTGTGTGTGTGTGTGTGTGTGCACACGTTCACTCGTGAGTATGTTGCTGGGGATGGAACCCAGGGCCTTGCGGGGCAAGCAAGTGCTTTATCGCTGAGCCACTTCCCCAGTCCTTCTCATTTTTAAATTTTAAGTTCTGAGACAAGGTCTCACTAAGTTGTCCAGCCTGGCCTCTCACTTGCAGTCCTCCTGCCTTGGTCTGCGAGCAGCTATCACCTTCCTGGGCTAATCACAGGGGAATTAAGTTCAATGTTCCCTGTGTCAGTTTGAGCATCTATGAAATGGGCATGATGAGTTCTGTGACGATTCAACTCGATATTCTATGAAAATCACAGGAACAGAGACGCGATAACCTGCAACAAGTGCTGGCTGTGATGATTACACTCACTGCTATCCAGTGCGGCACACATGGTGAGAATCAATCCTCTTCTCCAACTAAATACTTTGGATTTCTGGAACGACGAGTGACTCAGGACGGCCCAGCGCGTCAGATTTAGCGGGAAGGCGGCTGTAACCGTCAGCTTCCGGTTCCAGGTGGCGGGGCTGAGCTTCGCTTCAGCTCTGCCGGACACAGCCGGAAGCTGGGCAGTTTGGGGAGGGAGGTGACGACAGCGTGGTGGGCTCCAGGTCGAGGACCTCGCAGGAGGGGGCCTCCAGGACGGGGCTGTTGCCCTGCCGGCCCAGCGGCGCCCTCTGGTGTCTCTGCTGTGTGGGGGTGATTCTCTCTAATCTGCTGCAGACCCACCCCGCCGGGCATTTCCGAAGGGACCAGGAAAGAGGCTATAAAAGGACTCCAGCTTTAGGGGCGACGCTGTTGGAGGAAAAGTAGCCTTAAATGGAAACACGACAGTGGGGAATTAAAAGGAGGTAAAGGGGCCTTTCACTGACAGAATCCCAAAGCCTAAATTATACCTTTCCCTGGAAAACTTTCTAAAACTTCAACTTTAGACCCCAGGTGAGGGCCATGTAAAAGTGGGGATGCAGAGATGACATTAGAGACAATTCAGCCCCCAGCCCAAGCTACACTGCACCACAGGAAAACCTCTGTCCACATGCACCACCAGCTCTAGTGGTGGGCGGGGGGCGGCCTGGTCTACTCCTGTGCCTCAGTTTCCCTGGCACCTAGCACCGCAAGTGTCCACTGCTTCACAAGGGCTTTAATTTCAACTGGGAATTGAGGGTGGCCTCTGTTTCTCATAAGCCGCACTTCCCAGAGCTCCACAGCCTTCGGACGCTCCTGGGGAAGCTCCAGGCCGGAGCATTTGCAGCACTGGGGTCGAACAGCGAGGCTGGGCCGCTGGACTCAGCCTTCCAGGGCTGGGTCCAGGTTTCTGCAGCCTGCCAAGATCGAGTCGCCTTCTTCCGCCACCGGGCAGCTCCCTGGAACTTGTCCTCATCCAAGGTCTATTTATTTACGTATTTTTCTATTTTATTTACGTATTTTTGTGGTATGGAGGATGGAACCCAGGGCCTCTTGCATGCATGGGCATAGCAAGCTCTCTACCACATGTTTTTAGAAGACTGTTTTCAAGAACTGAAGTCTCGATTATTAAGACCGGCATGCATAAAATAATGGCAGACAATGAATTGCAATATACAGGTGTGTGAGTCCTTGAAAAGGTAATTGACTTTTTCATTGTAACTGAAAAATATTTCTGACTATATTTAGAAGGGAAAGGTTTCAAAGTGAGGCACATGACAGGAGTCACCCTGTGTCACTGGCCCGCCATTATTTAAAGCATATTTTAAAAGTCAGATAGTCTGCATTTAAAAATTTCTCTTTCGTGTTTTCCGTGTAGGAAGTTGTGGTGTTCTGTGGCTGCCCTGGTTAATCGTGCCCATTGTAGGTTCCCTCCCTCTGATAGCTCTTCCTCAAGGTACAGATGGAAAGACCCCGCCTCCCAAGGACTCACGAGCCGCCAGAGAAGGGGAAGGGGTGGGAGGACAGAGCGGGCACAGCCTGTCTCTGCGGACTCTCAGGGAGGCTGCATCCAGGACAAAGTCTGGAAACAGGACAGGGATAACTGTGAGGATGTACAGCACCCTCGACAGCTCTATCATTATTATGGAAAATGTAGCAACAGCCAGAATCAACCAAGAGGTACAAAGAAACATTAAAACTACTATGAATGAAGACCAAAGACATGAAAGAAATAGTGCTACAGGATTTGGCAGGCATCTCTAACTGAGTTAACTAAAATTTTACACTTTGGAAAACAAAGGAGTTCTCTGCCAAGCAAACATTGACCAGGACAGTATTCATGGTGAGAAATGTGGAAGAAGGTGTCGTCAAGGACTAGAAACGACTTGGTTTAGAGACACATTCATCTTCTTTCTTATCATATAAGTCTCATGACAGCTAGGACAAGGAGCAAGTTCTAGAAGCTGTAGGTGGTCCAGCTTCTAATTGTGCTAGCCAGCAGAACACGGAACATGTTCTTTTCAGCACATAGAGACCAGAATTTGGAAAAAAATTCTCTTTCCCTCAGAAAGAAAGACTGTTGAACTCTTTCCCTCAGCAAATATGTAGGGATGCACTTCATTTACTGAGTTTCTAGGTAGATGAGCTTAATTTTACAGCTGGAAAAAGAGTCCGAAAGTGTTTTTGTAATCTATTTTTAATTTAAAAATATTTGAAATGTTGGCTGTCCTTTCACACTGATTGACCAAAGGATAGAGGGAAGCAAACACTGCCGGTAAACCCCACTGAAATTGCTGGGACAAAGGTGGAAGTCTCCTAAGATAGAAACACTTCTGCCTCTCACTTGCTGCAATAAAATGGTCCATCTCATTTTGTTCCAGATAAACTAGAAACAGAACACACAATAATTTGATACTGGTTATGAAGAGAACAATTTGGTGGCTTAGTCCTCTTAGGCTGCTATAACAGAACACCTTAGGTGGGGTGGGTTAAAAACAACAGGAATTTTCTGCTTACAGTTCCAGATGTCGGAAGCCCAAGACCAAGATGCTGGCAGCTTCAGTCTGGTGAGGGCTCCGGTGGCCCTCTCACTGTGTCCTCACAGGAGAGGCCAGGCAGCTTTCCTGAGCCTCTTTCTTTTTTTGGTACTGGGGATCAAACTCGGGTCCTTGCGCTTGTGCAGCAGGCAGCAAAACCACTGAGCTAAATCCCCGGCCCCACCCCCGCCCCGAGCCTCTTTTGTGCGAGCACCATGGCCTCCTGGCCTGCATCAAACGTCCCCACTTTCTGATGCCCCCACTTTGCTGACTGGGCTCCAGGGAGGTGGGGGACACAAACATTCACACGGCGGCACTGGAGCAGTAGCTCTCGTCTTAGAAGCCATAGCACATGGTCCTCCAGAAAACCCCAACACTGTGCGTGGACAGTTTTAGAGAAGAACAGCGTTGCATTAGGCTCACAAATTCTCCAGAGAAGAAGCTAGAGAAGGCTTTGTCATCTCTGATACTTATTTGCGGGGGTGAAGCAAAGCAAGGCCCTTTGAGCAGGGGAGCCCTGGGGGCCCTCTGCTGAGCCCTCTGCAGTCCCACCTGTGCCCTGCTCCTGTCAATCACACATTCTCCCAGAGCAGCCCTGGAAGCTGAGGTGCTGCTGGCTCCTTCCACCGACCGAGAACTGAGGCTCAGGACATTCCGAGATTCCTGGCAGGCACACACCTGTGGGTGGGAGGCCGGTGACTCAGGTCTGCCCGGCCCTTGGGCCTTGTGTTTTTTGCTGCCCAGGGCACCCTGGAGCGGGGTCTCCTTCCTCCTCTGCTGCCTTGTAGCTACCCTGGAAAGTCTGCTACCCCAGGGGAATGTATTCAGCTTCTCTGCTGGCCAAACACTGACTCACTATATCGAACAACATATAAGATCTTGCGGGGAAGGAGGCATAGGAAAGTGGATATAATCCTGCCCAGGAGGTGCTGGCAAGCGAGTAAGTGTAGGACAGATGTGTGTAGTTCAGGAAAGCTCCGGGAGTGGGTGGGCGATGAGCATGGGAGGAGGAGGGAGCTTCTCTGGGCACCTTGTTGGTGCAGACAGCAGCTGTCCTTTGAGGTCACTGAGGGCGGAGGAGCGGGAATCGGCCCAGAGCAACTGTCGGAGAGTGCGCTGCTGCCCCGGACTGGGGCCCTTGGTCCGCCCCGTACTCACCTGGGGCACACTGAGAGAAAGCTCTTCAGCTAGACTGAGCATCCAATCCCCCAAGCGCACATGTTGGAGTCCTAACTCCCACGGTGATGATATTAGGAGGCGGGGCCTTGGAGGTACTGGCTCACAAGGGGAGCCTTTGTGAATAGAATTAGTGTCACCATAGAGACCACAGAGAGCAACATGAGGACACAGTGAGAGGATGGCCATCCACGCGTGGGCCGCCGGGCAGGTCCTGAGTGTGTGGCCTGGCCTTCCCAGCCCCAGAACTGTGAGCAACAGACTTCTGTTTCTATCTCTGGCCACCAGGGAAAGGCAAGCCGAACTGTCTTGAGAGTCTACCTCACCGAGTCAGAAAACCTACCATGAAGAACACAAGAAAACAATAACCGCTGGCGACAGTATGGGGAAAGAAACCCTTCTACCTTGCTGTGCACATTTGTGTGGCCTCTGTGGAAATCAGTGCCGAGGGTCCTCAGATACTAAACACAGGGCCACTGGGGGCAACGGTCCTGGGAGAGAGGACAGAACCCCACCAAGAGTGAGCCCTGGTGGGGTCCAGGTGCTCAGGCTCTGATCGCAGTGGCACTTCCGGGGATCTGGAATGATCTGGAAGGATCGCTGAGGAAGCCTTTGTCCAGCGGGGCAGGAAGAGACGAGAGAAAAGGACTTCAGGTTCGAGAGCAGACAGCTAAGACTCCTCAGCGCCTGGGATGTCAGAGTGCCTTGGACAGGCTGCTTACACTAGGGTGCTGTTCCTCACCTGTGGAGGGGTGTCTGCTGGGGTTAGGGTCACCCCAGCCGAAGGCACACCCCCAGGCTCTGCACAGGCGGCTGCCTCCTGCCTTTCTGCAGAGTGATACTCATTTTCCTTTGTGAGCCAGAACCCTGAGGCCCTGTTAGGCATCTGTGCTCATAAATTATAATTTATGATGAAGATTAATAAAACCGGAATTTATAAAAGGACTTAAAATTAAAAATTAAACAGCTCTTCAATCCGTAAATCCATTCCCAGTGAAAGGGATGGAAGAGCAGTTAGAGCCACGTGTATTCGGAAACATTTATCAGTCGGCAAATCTCTTAATTGTACTCGATCATATCACATTATGAATGACCCACTAACCTCTCAATTTCATTCTGTGCTGTTTCTCGTTTAAGCACATTCTTCTATCCTCCTGTGCCTAATTCTTCATTTAAGGAAGGGGGAAACTGCCTGTAAAATAATGAATTAATTTAGGTTTCCTTTGTATTCTCGCACATCCACATGCCTTTCTATTTATCCTTTTTGTTTACTTTGAAAGAAATCAAGCACCTAGTCTGAAAAAGGACTAAGAGAATTCTTTTCTATCTACTAGCCACTATAAGCCACCCACTATAGATAATATAATTTTAAAAGAACTTTGAAGAATGGCACAGGATATAGTTCATAATTAACCATCCTCAATACTTGAAAAGCTTTTCTTATGTTCATAGGTCTTGCTTGTTATGCCTTAAATTCACTACTTTTTGCTCTGTTCTGAGTCTCAATGTATTATAATATCGTATATGCATCCAGCACAAATTTTAGGTTAAACTTTGCCAAAGCTGTGAAGTGGGCATGAAGGGGCTAACAGAGGTTCTCAGCTGGGGAGATTCTGCCTCTCCCCAAGCCCAGGGGCATAGCTGGCAACGTGTGGAGATGTGTTCAGTTGCCACAGGCGGGGGGTATTGCTGGCATCTGATGGGTGGAAGCCAGGGACACTGCTAAAGGCTAAACACAGGCCCCATCCCTCCCCGGATGAGGGAGTATCTGCCCCAAGTCATGAAAGTGAGGCTGAGAAACCCTGGTTAGGAGGAAGTGGCCGGGCGTGGGAAGCACCACCAATGAAATAGTTGTAGGGATTCAATTCCGGTACCAATCCTGTGCTTCACATTGTTGGGAGCATCCTGGGATTAATCAGGATAGGATGAGATTAAGGAGAGAAACCAACCTGGAGATCATTTGAGGTTTTGAAAATTGTTAACCACATGATTTTAGTTATATTTTGGATTTACTTCTTATTTTATCATGAGATTACCAAACCAAACTTGCCTCTATTTTTCATAAAGTAGCAGCTGTAATACATTATTTGGGAATTCTAATTTCTTCAGGAAACATTTCAGCTTGGCCAGCTTAACTGTCAACCCTTGACTTGTCTCCCTGGCATGACAAGCGGGATTTATGTGTAATATAAACTTCAGACTGGCTCTGACTTTAGAAACGGCCACATTTTTGAGGGTTGTACTTTCCCAGCATTAACGTGAAAGTTTGAATATTTTTTCTTCTCCAGAAAAATGTCCCTATGTCAAAGGCCAATGATATGGAAATATTCCCAATTTAGCAACAGGCCTGACTAAGAGAGAGGGATAGAACTCTGGAATTAGCCCACAGAGCTAACACAGCCAGTGCTGCTGCACAGAGGCGCGTCCTTCCTGGCAGTTTCTACCTGCGTCGCTCCCTAGTGTCACCATGGCAAGGGAAGTCGGCGCACAGCCCGGGTTGACTCCCCTCTGGCAGTGAGAAGTCTTTCTCATCTCAGCACCTTACTTGGAAAATGAAGCTCCATATCCTGATCAGTGAAATATTTTGTAAGTCACACAGGATCTACACCGATAAGGCTCAGTAAGGCATTATTTTCCAGCTGCGCATGGGGGTGCATGCCTGGAATCCCAGCTCTGAGGGAGGCTGAGGCAGGAGGACAGCAAGTTCAAGTCTTGCCTGGGCGACTTGGTGAGGCTTTGTCTCAAAATAAAAAATCCCTGGCCCTAGGACAGCTCTTTTAAATAAACATGAGCAAATAACTCAACGCTTGTCCACTCGTGCCCACCGAGAGCGGCTGGCCCCGGGTGCGGCAGGGACATCACAACAGCCCGTGTGCGCGGTGGATCCAAGTCTGCGGCCTGCTCCTGCTTCCTGGGGGTCAGCGTCCGCTGAAGCTAAGGCCATGGCCACCATCCAGCGTCTGCTGGGCTCCCCTCGCTGGCCCCTCAGATCACGCCAAGTGCTGTGGGGGCTGCAAGCCGCTGGGGTCTCCCTCCCCTCCCTGAGGGGCTCCACTGCACAGTTGCCCTCGGGAAACGCACACCCGTGTGCTGAACCTGGAATCTCCCCTGAGATGCTTCTCTCTCAGCCTGTGAGCTGAAACTCTGGAGCCGAGCGACTCCATCCCGCCCTTCACACCCGCTGACTCTCCTGCCTGGGGTCCTGAGAGCACTGCGGAATGGAGGGCAACTCAGCCTTGACCAGGACGGGAGGCTGAGACAGGGAGGTGCAGAATGCTACCTTGGGGGACAGCAGGGTCACAGTGGGGCGCATCGACCTGGCCCTTCAAGCACCCTGACTCTGGGCCTTGTCCACAGGCCCAGCTCGGAACGCGTGTCGTGTCTCCGTGCCCACCTGCACCAGTGTGGCCAGACAGCTTCCGCATGCCAGCGGTGACACGGCTGGTGCGCAACCCGGCGGCGCTGGCTCTCAGCTCCGCGGTGCCGCTGCAGCCCGAGTCAGGACTCTGGGTGGGAGGAGCCTACGGGCTCACGAGGACCTGACCGCCAGTCTGACTTAGTACCACACAAAGTAAGTGTAGCCAATGAAGGATAAGTAAAGACAGCATGCTAAGGACAGAGAGCAGCCGCGCCAAACGAAACAGGCAGGAGGAGAGCAGAAGCGGGAATGCCGCACAGGCTCATGGGCGCCTGGAGGTGCTGCTGGCAGAGCTGCAGTGGGGTCTGGCAGCTGCTTAGCAGGAAGTGCCCGGGCTGGGGTGAGGCTCTGTCCTGCACAGCAGGCTCAACGTTTCCTGGCCCGGAACCCCCGTCTCGTCAGGTACCAACTCGATGGCCCAAGGACCGTGGCAGGAGCCCCTGGGGTCTCCCGCGATGACGAGTCCTGCTCTCTCCCTTGGGGCGCAGCCGGCAGGCACCAGGCGAGCTCGAGACCGTGCTCCGGGTGGTACCCGGGCCTCAGGACAGCCTGTGAGGAAGGAGCCCTGTCCTTCCTGGTTCCTCACCCTGAGGACCGCTCAGCACTGCGGTAAATGGCCCAGAAAGGTTCTGACTCCCTGCAAATGAAAGCGCCAAGGCTCCCTGAGGCGCTGACAGCCCCTCTGCTATGGCCATCTCCACACAGGCAGGGCACCCCGCGGGGAGCAAGGAGCCGCCTGAGCAACCTCCCCAGACACCCGAGACTGCGGGCCCCCCTTGGCCCTGCAGGGGGAGGCCAAGGCTGACAGTTTCCCAGACTAAGCAGACTCGAGCCTTGGCACTCGTGCCCAGGATGCCCAGAAAGGGCAGATTTTATACCCATCAAGACAGAGCCTGAATTCTGTGCCCAGCCAGAAAGACTTCTTCCAGATGGTAAAGAAAAGGTTTAAAAAGAAATAGCTTCTGTTTTTGTCTTCCTTGGAAGAAACAAAATGTGGAAAACCCAAGGTGGGCAGCGGCAGTGTCACATCTCCACTCACATGCAGGCCGGGAATTTCGCTCATTATAAACTGTATGAAGTTGCTGGGAGCTGCAGGGTGAATTTTCACACTGCATACTTCCATGTGTTGTGATTCCTCAGCATGGCAAAGCGTCCAGGAAGGGCACCAACTCCAGAGGAAACTTCTCATCAAAACAGTTGATTCGATGAAAAACCCAAATCAGAGGTGTTCTCGAGTGTGTATAAGGTGAGTGATTTTCATTCTTTTTAGATAATACAGGAGCCAAATATCAATGTTGCCTTTAAAAACACCTGCTATGGAGTTGGGGACAGTGCATGCCTGTAACTCTGGCACTCTGGTAGGCTGAAACAGGAGGACTGCAAGTTGGAGCCCAGACAGGGGAACTGAGTGACTTGGGGAGACCCTGTCTCAAAATTTAAAAAATGACTGGGATGTAGCTTGGTGTGAAGGCTCCAGGTTCAAACCCTAGTACTGCAAACACACATGGCTGTGGTGGGCATGCAGGCTGGACCGCTGGGATTAAGAGCTGCTAAAGTCCCGCTCAGGGAGGCCTGGGACAGAGTGGCCCTGCTCCAGGGAGAGGGCACAGTGTGAAGGAAAAGCCTTGGGTCATGGGCTCACCAGTAAGAGCGCTCAAGCATCCTTTCCCCTCCAGAAAAGAGAGCCAACAGCTGGACAGGGTGAGACCATCCACCAGGACCCCACCAGGCAGGTGACATCAGAACCAACACAGCTGTCTGCCTGTGTTTATGAGACAGAGGCCACGCCCTTCACCACAGAGTCAGAGAGAAGTGAAGACGGCCAATGAATACACGAAGAGATGCCCAACACAACTGGCCATTAGAGAAATGCCAATTAAAACAACACTGAGATTCCATCTCAGACCAGAAAGAACGGCCACCATCCCAAAATCCAACAATAACAAGTGCTTGTGAGGTTGTGGGAAAAGGGAACCCTTCTCCATTACTGGTGGGAATTAAACTAGTACAAACCTGGAACTATGGAAATCAGTGTGCAGATTCCTCAGAAAACGAAAACTAGAAATTCCACATGACCT